AAGAGAGTTATATTAAAAGCAGTTAAAAAAACTGATGTGGAGATAATGACTAGAGTGTTCCTTCACAACATCATCTCTCAACATAACATTTCTAAGATGATAGTGTCAGATCAAGGGTCAGCTTTCACAAGCATATTTTGAACTTAAGTGTATGAGAAATTAGACATTAAGAGATGACTCTTCACAGCCTATTATTCAGAGACTGATGAAGCTACAGAGCAAATGAATCAGATTCTGAAAATCTATCTACACAAGTATGTTAGCTTTCAACAAAATGACTGGTGTGAATGACTCTCTCTGACAGAGCTAATCATCAATAATAGAGATACTGTCTCAACAGATGTGAGCTTATTCTTTTTAACACATCTTTTTCATATCTTCTTCATTGATATAATCAATACACCTTCTGTTAAAACATCACATAATCTCATTGAGTTTGCAGATGATTATATGAGAAAGACTCATGAAGTGTTGAAGTGAGCTCAAGTAAAAATGATAGATGCTCAGCAATCTCAACAGAACTACATGAATAGATGAAGAGACTTAGCTTCAAGCTTTCAACTTGAAGATAAGATCTGGTTGAGCTTAGAAAATATGAGAACTAATCACCTGTGCAAGAAGCTGAATGTAAAATACAATCAATATACTGTGCTAGAAAAGATAGAATCTCATGCTTATCAACTGAATGTCTCATTTGACATTCACAATGTCTTTAATGTAAAGCTTCTACATGCAGCAGCAACAGATTCCTTGTCTAGTCAAAGGTAAACCAACTAATAGCCACCCACTATAGAGACTCTGAAAGGACCTGAGTTTGAGATTGAGGAAATTTGAGATGAACAAACCTACCAGAGAAAAAAGCAATATCTTGTTAAATAGATAGATTAAGCTGAGCCTACATGAAATGACATAAGTCTCCTACAAGAAGTGAAGGCTTTGGACATTTGGGAGGCCTCTCAGCAGGCAAAATTAAGTGTAAAGAGAGCTTTAAATAGTTGTAAAGACCTGCAACAAAGAGGGAGAAGAAGGATATTATAAGAGACTGAACCCCTAGATTCACTCTGACTGGCTGACTCAGCCTAGCCATTGTTTGCACATGCGCACATGATCATGCTGCATGTGCGCACGTGATCATGCTACACGAGCTTGCTTAAGCTCATGTTCTCATCTCATTCTTTTCTTCTCTTTCCCAAGTAATTCGTCCTTGTTATATAGGAGGACTAGCCTCTAGTTCTTAGAGCTTAACCCTCTACAGGTAAAAAGGCTAGGATTTGATGAAGATTCAACATAGTATCTGACACAAAATCTAAAAAGATCATCACATCTGATTCAACAATTTCATGCTGTAAATTCAACAAAAGCAGAGCTCATGAAACAATTAAGTAAATGACTAGAGGCTTGAAAAAAGAATGACTATCTAGCAGATGAAGCAGATGATAATCTACTGACATGAGAGCATGCATAGACTTCAAGAGGGGGTAATATAATAGTGCAGAATAGAATTACATCTAACTTTCTCAACAGCATAATTGCCACAGGCTGAGGTGATCAGTAATCATACAGGCTGAGGCAATTAGTCATCATACAGACCAAGGTGATTGGTAAATAACAATTGTCTAAACAATGGCAAACAACCTCATAATTATCTTATGTATGAATAATACATAAATATAGCAATCACATGGCAACAACACTAGAGAAAAAGAGCTATATAAACAGAGCCTTCTCTGAACTCATCTTTTAGAAATTATCTTAGTATTCACTCAGATAGCTTATCTAGTTAGCAATCAAACATCAGTTCACCTGCATCTAGCTGAAGCCATGATATTGATCACTTTGATCACTCTGATCATTGTAAATATCATGACTCTATGAATTTTAATCAGATTCAAATTAATACTTTTGATTTTCTAGATGATTCTTCATTATATGCTCTGTTAATTTCACTCTCTCAATAAGAAAAATTCTGTTAAAAAGACTATTGCATATGCTATAAATCTTATAATTATTGAGTTAAAAACTATCATTTCTATTTATATTTTTCTAAGCTTTATCACTGTCAAACTGCTAAAAGAATCTCAGTTTTTAGGCAAAAATTTAATGATCACTCTGATGTTAATGAGATATAGAAAAAAATTTATAAGAATTTGATGAATGATAATTAAAATGATTAGTCTATTGATAAACTTAATGAATTTTTATTTAGCTTTTTTCTTGCTTCTAATATAGTTGTTAAGAGTAAATACTCTTTTAAATCAAAAAATAATATTATAACGCTGCTGCTTATATATAAATTAAAATTAATTCACTCTACTATGCTTTTAAAATTGATCTATTCTAACTTCAATCATATTTAATTGCTTATATTGATCTAATTTAATTTTTAATTATTTATATATTTAGCTGTTTAGTTAAATAGATAAATTGAAACTGTTATCTTATTATAATTCTAACTTTAGTTGAATTATAATAATCATTTTCATTTCTTATTATTAGTCATTAATATTTTATTTTTATATTTTCAAGTTTATTGATATTCTTATATATTTTCTATAGATATTTGAACACTTTTTCAACTGTTTCAAACTTCTTAAAATGATCTTTTTTTATTTTTAAAACTAAATATCTAACAGCTTCATCATCAATTCAGTTTTTAATATAAATAATATAGTTTTCTTTAGTTAAAAAGTGATTTATATTAATAACTAGGTTGCATTTCATTTAAAAAAGTTAATTTTTAAATATTAATTCTTTTTTATTGATAAGATACTTAAAATTATTAAGTTTAACTAATTATTGTATCTGTTGAGTATTCATCAGTCTGATTTAAAAAACTAAAAAGTTCATAGTCTGCTGTAAAATGTTTCATTCTTCTATTAAGTTATTCATTTACTGATTAAATTTACTTACTTACTTTCTCTGCTTATCACATTCTACTGTAATTCTTTCTAAAGTATCTCTTATATTATTTATGAAATCAATAATCTTTTGATATATTTGATTTAAATTCTTTTCAATTATTATAAAAAATTATTTCTTTAATATAAAATCTCTTGATCTTATATTTTTTTTAGTCAGAGTCATCATATCTCAATCTGATTTTCATAGTCTATTAGACTCTTTAACTACTTCTGATATTTTAACAATCTTCTCAAAAGTTTAAAAACAAAAGTAAATAAGAATTCTTAGAGATTTTTTATTTAAAAACTTGCTTTAAAAAGAGCAAAAAAAGTATTTAATCTTAATATTATATTATAACTTCAATATAAATACAGATAAATATATATTCAATTGCTAAGTAAATAAACTATCTGAGTAAATACTAAAATAATTTCTAAAAGATGAATTTAAAGAAAACTTTATTTATATAACCTTTTTTCTTAATGTAGTTACTAGATAATTATCACATTTATATATTATTTGTATATAAGATAATTATAAAATTGACTGCTATGCTATTATTTAAACAATTGTAATTATCAATTGTCTCAGTTTGTGATAATTATACTGTTGAGAAAATTGAACATATATCTATTTTATATCATCACAAACTCTATATCAACTTTTGTCTCAAAGAACTTTAAAGCTTTATTATCAATATCTTCATTATTTCTTTTCAATTTTATATAAATATTAATAAAGTTATTAATATTTTTAAAATTTTTTTCAAAGAAAATTAAAATAAATAGAGTATAAAAACTATTAATAAAAAAATTAAAAATTGAATTTTATAAAAAAGACTACATTAAATGAAATTTATTATTTTTAAAAATAAAATCTTTATAATAATATTCTTAATTGTTTATTTTTATTTTTTAAATATTTTTATTTAACTTGAAGAATAAATCAATTAACTGACTCATAAGATTTAATTTCTATTGAAGTATTACCACTGAGTTTGATAGGTTTTTTGATGAATTCCATGTTGATGAGTGAATTTCACATAATAAAGAGAAGGAACTGAAGGGCATCCATGCAGGTTAATAGCTTCAAAACACATTGAATTCCACACATTTGTCAGCTTGATGACAAATCACGAATTAGTGGATTTAAATGACCAATTATCATCCTTGTAAAATTTTATGAGATCTTATTGGTTACTGAATGGCGCCGGTGCAATATTCCATACACTAATTGAAATCACGCTAATTGAGCAAGAACTTACTGACGAGGGGATACTTCTGTGCGGTGCGCTAGTCCGTAATAGGAAGCCTAGGCTCCAACAAAATCAGCCCGAATAAAGGCATCTACTGCTCACGTGAGGAGCTAGGCCTGATCAGGGAGGAGGCGCCTTGGCGTGTGAGGCCACGAAGATTCTCCAACAGTAGTATCCACTTTTAATAGTTCCCCGGCCTTGCCCACGCGGGTAGACCTGAAATTCTTAAGAACGTGTTGACATCATCTTCAACCTCATCCTCATCCTCGTCCTTACACTTCTGATTCTCCTGACCCTCACCCTCATCTTCTTCATCCATTGTATAATTCTCAGAGAACAATAGACAAAACCCGCATGTTCTACTTATGCTCTCTTTAAATCTTAGTGCTATTCAGATCAACGACTCGCTTGCGCATCAGAAATAGCTCTCTGCGAACTGGCTAAGTTATGGTAGGCTGAGTCTTTCCCAACCCCTCTTTCTTCTGATTGATAGGCGCCTAGACCCTCAATTTGTGCTGCGTCCACTGATTGTAGTTTGTTTTGTGTGTTGTCTAGGGCAAGCGCAAGAAGTCGAGTCGCAAACCGGTTGGGCCCAAGAAGGCAAGTTAATGCGCCTTTTCCGCAGATGCAACACGGGTTGTTTGCTAACCGCGGTGCAGAAAGAACCCCTTCCAACCACATTTTCTTGTCTGTTCTGCAACCATGAGAACTGTGTAGTAGTGAAGCTTGATAAGAAATTGGGCCTGGGAAACCTGTCGTGTAAGATATGTGGCCAGCGTTTCCAGACGGGCATTAATTGTGAGAGTATCCCACTTACGATATTCTCTATTTTGTTCTGCCACTGATGGAACCCGATCCTACTTTAGATCTCTCCGCTGCCGTCGATGTTTACTCGGATTGGATCGATGCCTGTGATGCGGTTGCTAAACATGCTGCCGGCAACGATATGGAGACTACCACACGCGGAGCAACTGATGGATCCCCGGGGCCTGTGAGACGCGGAGCTGACAGAGATGAACTTGACCAGGCTGAAGCTGGCCTCGATGATTATTGACGAGAAGCTTCGTTAGAAATCATAAATATTCTACCTTCCCAGTCACCTTTCCTAAAAGAGCGTTCTGGGTGCGATGGACACTCATCCTTAAATTGCATTCGATGGTGGGGATTTACTTTCCGAAAACATTTTGGCATGGGAAGGAAAAGGGATTCTTCAGCGAGAAATATACAGCAGTAGCATCTGGAGGTTCCACCGCTATTGAAAATGGTTTAACACGCCTAACCGCCATTCAGGCCAACGACACCAACCCACCTTATCCCTGCCCGCAGTTGTTTCTCTCTTGGATGCGACTTGAAAGTCCCCGGGTCCACAGCGAAATGAAATATCCTAGGGCAGATCGCAGGTGCGATATTCATTGGTTGTTGGGAGGAATTAGGACAGCGCCTTGTTATATATGAGTATAAATTGAAGCTCTTGTTTCTCATCTATAATGTGTAGTATCGGTCGCCAAAGTCTCCCAAGCCAGGAATAATATACCTGGTTTTGATGTTAGATATAACTGAAAATCAAGATAGTTGGACGTAAGCTTTACTGACTTCTTATCATCAAGGCCTTGGTCAATAAAGGCGGTGACTATTCGCAGCTTAGGGTACCTTCGAGCGAAATCTGCAACCCCCGACGGGCTTGCTATGAGGTTTAAAAAGAGAATTCGATCTTCAGGTACTGCCTTCGACTTCAATACATCGACTGCCATCGTCGCGGAGCCACCTGTACAGATTGTAAGCATAAACTACGTTTGAGGCAGACTGAGTATTTGTTCGCACCAGTTGCAAACATTGGATCCAGAAGTAGCACCCATCTACTTGCAATGTCTTCCGGAAGCTTCTCGTAGAAGAGTTTTGGCTGCCATGTATCATCGTCTCTTTGAATCAATATTTTTCCAATGCGAACAGATCTACAACAATCACGAAGGCCCTGTTCCATAGCTTCTCCAGCCCTCATGATTGATACGCCGCAGATTTTCCCTTGGAATCTGACTCCCACGTAAGACCGGCCAACTGGTGTGGTTACAGATTGCTCAACAACGGGTAGGTGATTTAAGCCTTCCTCCACCAACAAGCGTATGATCCTATTTGAGTAAAAGATGAAGTCTGCTCTATCTGTACGAGCGTCCCTTATCATGCTTTAAATATCAATTTGTTAGCCCCTGGGAAACTAAACAAGGAGTAGATAAATTCAAGTAACTTGCGTCAACAATGCGATCAACTGAGGAGTCTGCGGCAAGACATGAACATTGTCGTAGTCGACAACCTGTGAGACCGTGGCTGTTGGCTTCTCTCCATCTGGCTTGTACAAAGGACCAACTCCTTGGCAAGGCGAAGGAACACCTCCCAGCTGTTGAGCCATTGTCTGTCTCTGTTGATCTAGGAATTTCTAGGCTGGCAATTTGCTCGCGGTAATAACGTGATAGAGGGTCAACACAATGCGCAACGCTTTCGCAGGACAGAAGCAGAACGGAGAACAAGCAGAGAGCGTGAGAGACGTCGATTCAGAAACCTGCACAAATCGTGAGGGTTAGACCTGAATTGTCCATAAACCAACACCTGATAGAGAAAGCCGGTGGAGAACCAAGACGAGATACGGGGACAACTACGGTACCTAGGTAACTAGATATAACCAGTTAAACTGAAGGGGAAACTTACGGCTAGTTATCAGTCCGCCCAAAACCCTGGAAATAATAAAGATAGAAAAGAACCATCAACTAGCCTATTCCGCCCGTCGAGAGGGGAGAGATGGGAAGCGTGGAGGAGGGGGTTGACTGGAATGAATTAGAGGCTTCATTGGCCCCACAGCTCAATTGTAACAGTCACTAACTAATAACTTTTAAACGTTCGTTAGTTATAAACTCCTACGGAGCAGTGTGGACTAACTTGATATAACTAAACTATCATGACTGGGTCTGGATTCTGTTATCGCGACAATTTCGATCGCTCATGGTGATGTCTACATATTTATTCCCCTAAATACTAGCACCATAATCACGCAGGAAATTACTCTCGTCGATGTGTCGTATACTCAGGTAGTTATCTGGCATTCGTTGAGCGCCAAAAAATACATAACTACACATTCCATACGCTAATCGGGAGTTTAATTTAACTATTTTAAACAACTAGGTAGTTACGGAGTAACGACTTCCACTCCATCCCACCCTACAAGCTGCTTAACTTTCTTCCAAAACAAAAAAGGCCCTATCATTTTCCTGCTCTCCTATGCGCATGGGAGTTAGCGGATAACTGATAACTACTGAAGGTGGAGCACTTGACGAGTCCATTCCTTTCATCCCACGGCACATTCAATAGATGGACCCAAAACGGCCCGTCCCCTTTCCTTTCCGACTTCATATCCAGCTTTTCCCAGCCTACATACTAGGTGATCTCCTGGGAGAGAGACTACGAACTAATGAGCAATGGCGCCAGCAGGGGGTAATCCAACTCCTCATCGCCAGCTGATCACTTACGGGAAGTCGTCGCGTGAAAACAAGGACGGAAAAGGACACGGATCGTTGACAAGTTCGCCGCCTGCGCAGACTCCAGGTCCCTTGCCCCAGGAACCTTCTAAGGACCTGGTTCCATCTTCCCGACATTCGGCAGCACGCAACAAGCAAGCAAATGGGAATAACAACCTTCTCCAACACCCAGGCGCACTCCAAACCCCTAAGGTGGCGAAACCAGCTAAATCAACGTCACTACGGCATCAGACACCAAGCTACGAAGAGAATAGTGTTTATGACATCACTTCGTCTGGAGATGAGCAACAGCATGAAAAGATAGAACCATGGAGAAAACGCAGAAAGATAGAGTCTCCGAAGATTGAATGGATTTCAAGAGGGTTTGCTGACATTGAAAACCCAAGCCCTAAACGTACGAGACCTGATCACACCCATCACGAATCCCCTGCTAGAAATGTAGCTACAACTGCAGCGGCCACTGGCCCCGCTGGAAAAACTGAAGTCGAAGTTGTTATTCGGACACCAAAACATTTGAAGAAATACTACAAAGCCACAATCAAGAAAGAGGTAGCGTTGGAAGGAGATGTGCCTGGTTTCGGTCTGCCTCGCCGCTCCAACAAGCAATTAATGGCCAATTTGCACACAGATCAGAGTTCCCACCCGGCTCTCAATCCGTCGTTGTCGCAGACAGCAGGTCAACAAGCTCTGAAGCCTCCCGCAAATACGCTCGTCCGCCCAGCAAAATCGGTAAAGGAGCCGCCACCAAAAATGCCCTCCTTGAACCTAAGACAAAGACCTGCAACCTCCGCTCGAGTTCACACTGGACCTGAAGATGATACTCTAGAGCAAAACGGATTTACAAATACCACCCCATCACGGAGAAGGATTGTAGATGCATTGAGCTTCACCCCCGGTACTATGCCTGGGTCACCAATTAATCTTGGTTGTGCCGACAGATGTTCCCGTTTTGCCAGTTCTCGGGCGTCCTCCGAGATATCTACTGGGACATCGGAGTATTCACTTATTTCTTCCTCTCAGCTCCCGGCTGCATTACATGAGATGAAGAACGACTCCCGATCCAATTCTCCCATCCGGTCACAGCATTCCCAGACTAGTGGTCCGAAAAATACATACGCTCGACAAAGGTCGTTCCTTACTGTTGGAAATGTAGCTGAAGATCCTCTTCTGGAAGCCCTACCCCAACCCCAATTTGCTCGACAGCACCAGGGTGTCCAATGCGTGCCCAATGTTATGGTTTCCAAAAAGGCTCGTTCTCTCTCATCCCATCCAAAAGACGATGATGGCGGCGACAACACCAACGGGGTGGTGCGAAATATCTATGAACTCCGTCGCGCCGGTGAAAATGCTAGATTTGAAGGAATCGTAGACGCGATTTTTGAGGACATCGAAGACCCTACTTCCTCTGCTTCAAGACGGTATAGTGGCCTAATACAGCTTTGTACACAGTTAATGGATCACCAATTTGCGCGCCGATTCCTGGCTTATGCCTTGGAGAAAAGACTTGCAAAACGAGCTGGAGACTTGGGTGACACCATTTACATGTACCTTCTTACTTGTGCCTATGGGTTAATTTTGGCAACTGGTCCCGTATCATCTGTGGTTCTGCATACCTGCTCTTCTCAGGTGTTCAAAGTTGTTCCCGACATGATAACAGACGATTCCGATATCCTTGATATGTCAAAACTGAAGGCGATGAAGACATCCAAAACAATTCAAGGGTCGCTCCGGGACTTCTGTGAACAAATGTGCCAGAGCAAAATTTGGCCTGATATTAAACCCAAGAAACCCTCTCCTCTGGCCCTGGCCTTGCGATGTATTGAGATGGCCGTGCGTCGCACTCGTGAAAGTGGAGATGCTATAGACCATATATCGGATGCTGTTTTGTCCAACCTGGTTGAGGTGCTTCTACGGCACTCCATGCTTCTCGAAAACAAAAGCGCCAAATCAGACGATTTCTTGATCATCGAGTTGGCATTCTCCATTTTGGAGTCTTATACAGTTGTTCTGAGTTCTCTTAGTCCGAGTCAGGAGAAGATACTAAAGAAACTTACTCCCCTTGGATGTTTACTATCCCAACTATCTCACTATTCGGAGCCGTGTTGCAAGCAGATTCAGCTGCTAGAAATCCGGTTAATTTTGAATCTCACGAATAACAACCCTTCGCTATGTGAAGACTTTTCGACGGCCGAGTTCATACGAGGATTGATGGCAATTGTGTTGTCCAATTTTGGATTGGTTTCAGAGGACTTTGGTAACGATAAACGGGATTCTTTCTTAGATGCGGTCATTTTGGCGCTTGGGGCGTTAATAAATCTAACTGAATGGAGCGAAGCCGCAAGACAAATAATTTTTACAACGCGAAGCAACAATTCGACCACATTCCTCGACCGTTTGCTACAACTATTTAAAGATGGGTGGGAGAAAACGTCAGAGGTAAGATTTATCTGCAGTCGGTATTACAAGAAACAACAAAATGCAAAAGTAACTAATATCGACATCCCATCTCATCTGTTCAGGCTGATTCTGT